TCTGTCCGCAAGTGCACAATAATGTTTCACTTCCGATTGCATCGCTCGTACTCGCTCGAGCATCCTGGCCTCGAGTACTGGAGACTCGAGCATCTCATAGTCGAGTGTCCGTTATTCAGGGGACACCAAGCAGTTATCGTTGTGCTTTGAGACATCCAAGATAAAACGTCCATGTCAGATGTTTTATTTTTCAATGGTAGAGGTTATGTGCAAATTGCACCTAGAGGACATATTAGAATTATATACAATTGTACTTTAAATATTATTACTTTTTCGAAATAAAGTTCAAAGCTTAACTCTTGTATCTTTGAACGTATCAAAAGAACACTATAGAACGATTAGATGTCCATAAAAAGAAATAAGAGTGGCGCATTGTATTATTGCATATTCCAGGACTTAGATAACGCAAGTCTTGCCTGGTGAACGGAAAATTAAATGCAAATGGATATTTTATTTATTTCGGTTTTCAATTTTATCTTCACATAGGGGTAATACAAAGAAGTTTAATTGGATTTTAAGAATTAGGAAATATTTTAATCTCTGAGTAATATTTATTAATTTTTAATCATGTTGTTCGAAAGACGAGCGCCGCTTCACAAGGCGTGGGCAGGTAACTTACATAACTATAAGCAAAAGTCCTTTCCTATTATGACAATGCTCAATTCACATTTCGTGTCGCGCTCACTGCCTGCGCAAATACTGAAAGGTATAAAAATACAAACACTATTTGCAGCAAATATAGTAGGAAGTAGACGTTTTACAATATTTGATACTTAAGGATTCATACTCTTTGTGGCGTTATGGATCAATAAAATATCATACACTTGCTCAGGTGACTATGAGATTCTCTTGACTGTTAAAATAATAACTAATAAAATATCTAATAAAAACTGTTTTCTAACTCACTTCTTACATCTTTTTTTAGCTTGTATTCTCGTTGTGAAGTTTGTTTTCTACCATCTTTTTTCACTTTCCATCACTGTACGCCAAGAAGCACTTGGAGCCGATTTCGACTATAGCATACTCGACCGAGTAATCAGATTCTGGAATGAATTCAATCAACGGACACGAGCCAGTGAGTGCTCGTCGCACCTCGGTGACATCCAGCGGCCAAAAGAAAAACTTTCTGGTGGAGAAAGCTTTCTCGAAAACAAGGCACTATTCCCGATATTCCTCTGGTGAAAGAGATGGGAGGTCTCCTCCGGTGCACCGAATTTTGCTTCTGCGCAGCACCAGTTTGCATCTCGAACCACGAGACTACAGCACGGGCATCTCAATTGAAAGACTGACTTGATTGCGTGACCAAACGTTGGCCACTTTGCTGCATAGAGAGCAATAAATATTGAAAAACATTTTAAAAGTGGCATAAAGTGACAATTTTCAACGGTGACCAACTAAAAATAACACGATGAAGGTGTAATTCAAATAAAAGATGCAATAATGAAAAAAGTGCTTATTTTTTCTGTTTCAGTGACTTGTACGTGTGATAAATTGGGCATTTAAAATTCTGACAAGTATCATGACGCAAACTGGTGCCTGAGATTCATTGGCTGAAGTCGGATTCGCAAGGGCTCATTCATTTCTTTCCAGCGTGGATTGAGTTTGGTACATAATAGATGTATCACCTTTACGATTTCGAGTTCATATGTTTAGATTGAATCTGTGTTTATACATATGTAATATAACGATTTTTTCCTCATTTTGACACGAATTTCAAATTTTCATTGTTTAAAATCTCAAAGAAAACTATGTTATAGAATGTTACAAGGCAGATTCTAGGGGGGGGGTGAACTGAGACAGCGCACTCCTTTATCATGTCGAAAATCAATTTGAAAAAGTATTTTTTTCTATTTGAATTTGGCGTCAAAATTTGTTGACAAAAATACAATACCTTAAAATTCAACTATTCCCCTCCCCCGTGTCTGTATTTTTTCAGTCTGATACATGCAATAGAAGCTGAGGGGAAGAAAACATGAAAAATACATGTCTCGTATCTCTGCAACAGATTGCCCTAGGATGCTGATTTCTTTTCTGGAACCTACAGCATTTTTTATTCTGAGGTTATAGATTTGGTTTGGGGGCTTTTTTCTCCGCCTTATTACGCTATATTCTTTATCAACATGACATTTTAACACATTGACACTACATATGTGACTAATTTTTTGGTTTACTGTGATCTCCTAACGGTGATATCCTATCGGTAACGCATATTATTACTTTCTCGCCATTTCGAAAGTATTAAGTAAGAAAATAAAGTTATGTAACTGTGCGCCGGAAAACTGCATATTTTCGGCAGAAAAATTTATTGCTGGGCCCTGGTAACGAATAACTGAATAAATCCAGTTGCTAAATAAAGAAAACATCCACTAACACGTGGTGTAGCCAGAATTTGTTTTGTCGGTCCTTGATACCGAAAAAGCGGTTGATAGCAAAACGTCCGTCTATCCGTTTCTGTCCGCCCGCCCGTCCGCGGTCAAGGCTAGAGCCTAAACCGTTCAGCCGATGTTCTCGAAAAATTGAAATTCCGCGGTTTTTTAGAAGGATATTTTTACTGAAGATTTTTACACGAAGCCTCAAACATTTTTTAACAAACAAAAATTAAAAAATAAATGACACCAACGTTTTCGCGTAGAGTAAAGCACGCTTAAGAGTATGTATTAAGGGACGATAAAAATTATGATGATTGCTCCAGAGTTCAAACCTTAGGTCTACCGTTCTTCTGTAGCGTAGTGGTGTGGCTGACAGCGAGTTAACTTGGAAGACCAGAGTATGAATCTTGGTGGGGAAAAGAATTTTTACTGGATGAAAACGCTTTTGTGTGATTATGTAGTAGTATAATACGACGAAACATTTAGAAATGATACAAGAAAGTATGTGATTTTGGCGCATCACTAGTTTTATGTAAATTTCTCATATAAAAAAACTACGCTAATAAAATAAAGCAGGTACGATTTTTGTTGAATTCCCTGAAATTTCAAAAATTGCATAAGTTTAAAATTTGTTTACGCCCTCAAATTAAATTTTAGAAGATCATTTTTTTCATTGATGAAAAGTGGTCTTTAAAGATATATCGTGAAGTTCATGCACATTTTTTTCGAAACTACGAGTTTTCTAGTAATACATTAAATGAAGGCATTTAATCAATGTTTTCTTAGTAACGTTTTCACATTTTTTCTTTAATTGGATGATCTAGGTTAGAACAATAATATGGAGGCGAGATTGAAAAGTCAACATACACGATATAATTTGAAATAACATGGATACACTATTTGTGAAATAACAAAAAGGAAAATACACAAAAGTATGTACTGAGTTCATTATATATATATATATATATATATATATATATATATATATATATATATAAAACAGGAGTTATATATTTAACAGAGACAGAAATGATATAGTACTAAGTACATTAGGGGGGGGAGGTAATGGGGGATCGAAAACATAAGGGCAGAGGCGTTGGTGCGGACGATCTTCTGTGGCGCTGTTTGATTTCATGTGCTGAGGAGGCCAAGCACTAGGAGATGGCGGGATACCCGCGCCAGAAAATAAATAGTTAAAATAAACGTCGGATAGATTAGTATGTACTCGGCTTCTGACGGCAGGTTTTTCCCCCTTCAGGGTTTTTTTCCCCCTTCAGGGTTTTTTTCCCCCTTCAGGGTTTTTTTCCCCCTTCAGGGTTTTTCCCCCTTCAGGGTTTTTTTCCCCCTTCAGGGATTTTTCCCCCTTCAGGGATTTTTTCCCCCTTCAGGGATTTTTTCCTGAGCCGTACCTTATGGTCTCTTTTCCGTGGCTTTGATGCGATGGAAAGACCATTTGGGGTGAATACCAGAATTCGAAATATTAGAACGCGAAAGGATGTAGGTATTGTAATGGCTTAAAGGCCTTCGGCCTAGCCACATAGGATCAAGTAAGCTAATTTGTTTGTAATAATTACCTATTAAATAAAATAATAATATAACAGGAGTCGGCGTGCGTCTTTAAAACTCTTAATTTCTCGAAAATTTTGTGATGTAATTTATGGCGATATGCATATTTATGAACTCGTCTCTTCACGCTTATTATGATGAGCTTAAAAATCTATAGGGTTCCATTCAAAAAATTGAAATTGGGTCAATATCTCTGCAGTAAAAAATGCAATAGAATATTATGCCTGATCATATATGCCCCTTGCCTTTTAGTGAAAACCGCATCTCAGTATGTGCAACGGTTCAGGAGAAAATTGAAGGGAACATCTTAGGTGGGCCACACTGTGTATATATATATATATATATATATATAACTCTTGAGCACAGTAAAATAATGAAATATCATTTTCAAAATAGCATAGACACTTGGAAAATGTTAAACTGTGCCTAAGGATCCTTCCTAATGATAACAGTTCTAACTACATTTTTTTTACACCAATCTCTACTCGTGAGGTATTTAAAACAAATTACTCACTAATTTTTCTCTTTTTAAATAGAAAATGACACATAATAGTGCTAATTTAATTAGGTTTGCCTGAGTTTACAAACCCCTTTCTGAATATCAAACATGAAAATAACATTCATAAACTGCAATTCTACAGTTCACTAAATTTGCACTGAGATATAATACACTCCTTTGTTTTAAGAAATGAAATATTTACAGTAAATTTGCATTGACTGGAATGAACAAAAAATATTATATTCTTGCCACACTATTCTAACAATAAGAATGTTGAATGTTTCCTACAAAGTTAAGGAAGAATTCTGTCTCGAATTCACCACAGACATTTGAATATTTGACTCCTTTTTTAGTCTACAAATTCTACGCTGCACTCCGCTGCACACCTTGACAGAGCGGTGGGCAAGGTAACGTAACTATGTTCTCTCACTGGCAATTCTAAAAGAGATTTTGAGCGAGTCAACTGCGGAACAACCAAAGCACGCTTATCTTGAGTTTTTGCACTTTCAGTGGGTACTGTCGCCAACTGACAACTACCTGCACTTTTTACGGAATATAAGGGAAACATGGGGCTTCTTGCATCGATGGGAGTAGATGGCCTGGGCGGTGAATACTTCCTTTGGAGAACTCTGTTGTCCTTGGACTTCTTCTCAGATGACAGATTTATTTCGGGCGTCGTCCTTAGCGAATTCGCGTGGTAGTGTAGTTCGGCTTTCGCTCTCCCAGGTAAAATGCAATTACGGGATCCAACCGTCCTTGGAAATGATCTCCAGGTCATGTGTCGTTATGAGCACGTTTGTGGCTCGGTACTCTAGTTACAATCAGCTCCCATTGGATTTAATTTAAAATCATTTCCGTCACCATGCGATGCAGTGGTTGGTAGGATGGTATACCAGATATCTAATTAATTAATCAAGAAAAATGAACAAAGTAAAAAGAAGGCTGTGGAAGAGAAAACTTACTGTGGACGTAACGCCTCTACACGTGTTAACATCTTTCACATGAGAAAACTTCAAAATTTCTTCTTAGAATTGTATAAATATTTAATCACCGTGAATAGTATTACAAACATAATAGTTAACTCGTGTTGAGAGCTTTTTGAGTGCCTAAAAAAAGATTGAAATAGATTTCCGTTCATACGTCTTCACTTCTGACGGGAACGTCCTGTTCTAGCTGCTTCTAGTTAAATGGGACGATACGCTCTTAGGAATCGAGGTGGTACAGGTCGATTGACAGTATCGATTCTACTGCGCTAATCATTTTAATAGGTTGTTCTATGTTGCCGGTGTCAAACGCTACATAAGTCAATGGTCGTCTATCTTGGGGTGAATGGTGAAATATTTCTCGCATGAGAACACGTGATCGGTCTCTGTAGCCAAATTTTATGAAAAGTGAAATTCACCCATTTTTTATCCGTAAAACGAAGAAGTAACACGTAGTTCGTGTCAGGTGTTGAAATAACGCATTTGGATGTTTGTTTTGAATTTGAAGTGGAATGGGAAGTTATTTTGTTGAGATATCGAAATTTCCCGGTTATGAAACTACTTGCACATTTGTGAATTTCACGTTTCACATCTTTGTAACTGCATGTTAAAATTAGTTCATTAAAGAGCCCATTGTAAAATGATGACTTTAATAAAATAATTGTTTTATTTTCCAGCTCCATGAACAGCTCAGGGAAGAATATGAATACCGGTAGTAATGGCGGGGGCATGCCCGAGCAACCTGATCCAGATTTCATCAAAATGTTCGTCGGGCAGATACCAAGATCCATGGATGAAAACGATTTGCGGAAGATGTTCGAGGAATTTGGACGTGTACATCAAATTAATGTTTTGCGTGACAAAGTCACCGGACAGAGTAAAGGTAATAAATTCCCATCTGTATTATCTAAACATAGAAGTTATTTTAAAAATATACAATTTTGAAACTGCTTTCATTCATCTTTAATTCGAAATCTGCTTCGCTGTAAATTAAGCTCGATGTATTTTATATTCTCAAGATTGAGTTTTATTTGAAAATTTTTGGCGCAGGGGTAGCAACTATTGTTGCGGCAATAACAAAACGCTGTCTGAGAAAGGCCCTTATCGTACACATTTCTCGTGATAAGTATCTAGCGTTGGCTATGTTGCTTGAGTCCCAAGTGGGGCAACTGTTTGTAATCACGTGGGTGGGTAGAGATTGAGATGGTGAGACGGTCTGTGAAACGAACTGTGAGACGGACTGTGAGACGGACTGTGAGACGGACTGTGAGACGGACTGTGAGACGGACTGTGAGACGGACTGTGGGGCGGACTGTGGGGGCGGACTGTGGGGGCGGACTGTGGGGGCGGAAAGGGGAAAGAGGACAAATATCACACATTTAAAATAAGTCTTTAAAGTTTATTCCCACAGCAAACCTTGTTTTTGCTCTGGCTTATTAAAGCTACAGAAATCACTGTTATCGGGATTCCATCAAATGGAGCGTAGAAATAGATGATATATATAAAAGCTAAAAAATTTAAAAAATAGCTTTTTAGGAAAAACCATGTGGACCATTTTTTAAGACAATACATCAAAAGAAGCACAATACGTAGGTTTCTTTTCCCTTCCTACAAACACTTCTTGAAAATCTAACCTGCTGCATCAAAACTTTAAATGTGTGTTAGGTGCAATGCATGGCCTGGGAACAATGCGTTTCTTGGCAAGAAAACATAATCTTCATGAAAAAATAATTTTATGACAGGCATAATAGGTACATATATGTGTTTTCTTTTAAATACCAAATTGTCTAGTAATATAAGTAATTAACTAGTGATGATACAACAGCATATTCTTCACTGTATTACTAGTAATGGTTCCATAATATTATAATGTTGCAAATTCTATCGTACTAAGATTATCATCCATGACTTGAAAACTCTTAAAAACACGCAAGAATCTTCACAAAATGTCACAAACTTCTTTAAGTTATTGAAAGTTTATACGATTAAAAAATTGTACCCTTATATTGAATAAAGTATAGTTTATTAATCTCTACTCTCACTACACATTTAAAGAAAAAAATATCCGGGCTGTAATTAGAACCAAAGCACTTCGACCACAAGACCAAACCAATTCTCCGATACTGAAAATCATCTGATGGAACGACTGAATTTGCAATTTTTTAATGAATTATTAATGTCGTGGTGATTCTAACCCATCAAAATTACTTGAAAACTATTATTTAAAAAAAAATGCTCATGACCTTTTTGAACCATCTAATTTTGAAGAATTCATTCTCGTACTCGTAAATGAATGGGGAAACCAATTTTTTCTAAAACTGGAGATAATAAAAAGTTTTTGCTGTGTCATAAAAATTGTATTCATGTTGAAAACCATAATTTATAGAGAGATTACTAATCTTAGAACATACGATGCGAAAACATATGTTGCCCATAGCCATGCAGACTACAATGTACAAAACAGAAGTATGTCATAAGCCACATGTAATTATTGCTAACTAGCATAATACACGCGTATTTTACGTGGTATTTTACTTGTATTACAATAAATATATCAATTATAATCTATTTTTGTTAAAACTTTCAAATTGCTTTCTTGACCTCTCTTGTATTCATCATTGATCTTCTACCTGCAAACAGTTATTGTGTTCAGAACTAGCTCAGATTTGTGTGCAAGAAGTGTATAACGGCTATTATCTGGTTCTGCACTCAGAGAATAGAGAATTATATTTCATTGGCATTTCTTGGGAGCATTAAGATTGTATTGTCGAAAATGTCTGCTGAAGACAACAGGTGGGACATCATTTATATGTGAAAATCTCATTTCCGAAAAAAGTGGTCATTATCTGGTTCTTCCACCTAGGTTTTCAAATGTTCCCCGACTATCCTAACTTTCGTGACTCGAAAAAACAACAGTAAAAACTGTATGTGACGCAGGGGAGAAAAGAACTCCGAACTCCGTTTTCAAGCCAAAATCTCATAAGTGTTTGGCTGTTCGTGAGTACGTATTACCGAGTGTTGTCTAGTACTCATACGGGTAATATAAAACACCTGGGAACTCAAATAAATATTAAATGGTAAATTATACTTACAATCTAAAAAAATAATTTTTTTAAGTGTACATTTTCTAATTTTTTGGTAACCCTATTAAAACTGTTTTCCCTGGTGCACTGAAAACTTTTATTAATATTTGTAAGGTTTATCTTTACACATAATGAGGGAAACAGTTTCGTTTCCCTATACACATTAACAAAACTCCATAATTATGAATAAAAATTAAAGTGTATACTTGGGTAATCTCAAATGCATTCCATATTCTCGGTCATTTTCCATAGTGCAGAAATTCTTATTCTCTATTCTTGCAATTCCTATCTCGTTGCCGCTTAGTTATGTTAACTTTAAATGTCATTGAACAGTATTACATTACTTTTGAATCACATGTTTCCAGCAAGTTTCGGAAAACCGAGCAAAAACGACTGCACCTTAACATGCATAGAAAACAGCCTGTTGTTTGCAAGTTGTCCATATTATTACACGACATACAATGTCGGTTACAATATCTGGTACAACGGTATTGATACTTAATAAAAGTAATATTTCAGGCAAAAATAATCAGAATATTTTAAACGCTAGTAAAAAAACTAAAACAAATGGAATGTCGTAAAAAATACGACCACATCCTTTCGTTACTTAGTAGAGAATGTTGTTTTAAAGGATAATGAAAGACAAGACAGTAATCCGGAAAAAGTGGCAAATCTCTTCAATCAACACCTTTCTAGAATTGCAGCTGAACTCACGAAGGGACTAAAACCGCAAAATTGAACATCATTTCCTTCCCAAAAAATGTTCGGCACGATGTTTATTTCCGAAACTACTTCTAACGAAATCTTACGAATAGTCAGTAAACTAAAAAATAAATATTCATCTGGTTTATATGCATTTCCGTGTTGTTTATTGAAAACATGTATGTACCTGCCATTATATACCCCTTAACTCACATTTTCAATGCTGCTTCAATGCTTTCTATGCTTCAGTGCACAGGAATATTTCCAAATACTTTCAAAAAAGGAAAAAGAACACCAATTTTTAAAAACGGGAGAAAAAATAAAATTCAAAATTACAGAACAATTTCTCTTTTGTCAGGTTTCTCAAAAATATTAGAGAGGTTTTTCTTCACGCGAATGGAACCTTTTCTCAGGAAAAACGAAGCGTTTTCAGACTCACAACACGGGTTTAGAAAATCAAAATCAACGGAAACTGCCATTTTTTCTTTTCTTCAATATGTTCAATGAGAAGATGATCATCAATGGACCAAAATGAAGCACCCACTGGAATATTTTTCGATAGGTTTTGACGTTGTTGACCATAACATCTTGCTATCAAAATTACCTTCTTATGGAATTTGTGGTATCACCCTAGATTGGATAACCTCGTACCTTAAACATCGATCTCAAAGAGTACAAATACCGTACTGGTACGAAAGGGCATCATTTACTTATCTTTCCAATTCTGTACAAATTGAATATGGGTTCCACAAGGCTCGATCTCAGGTCCCATCCTCTTTCTGCTATACATAAACGATATGCCTGCGTCGATTAAAAACGGAAGAACAGTTCTGTTTGACGAAGACACGAATGTTCTTTTCAAACAAGAAACAATAAATAGTACGATTTTAGAAGTTTCAAATTGGTTTTGTAATACCAAATTAACAGTTAACGAAGGAAAAACCGTTTCAATGGATTTTTGCATTTCAAATCAGCAATCGCATGCTCCATTGAAAAGGAACTATGTACAATTAACTGATGTTAAATAACCAAATTTCTATGTATCTCAATTCAGTCAAACCTCAAATGGAATGTACATATAACAGAATTAAACACTAAATTAAGTTCCTTATGTTACGCACTCAGAATTCTTTGAAATTCTGTCAGCCTTTATGCAGCTCGTTGCGTGTATTTTGAAAATGTACATTTCCGCCTGAGATATGGCATAAAATTCTGGGGAAGCTCATTTTGTGGTACCCAGACATTTAGATTGCAAATGAAAATTATTTGAATAATGAAAAAAATGTCATCCTCCTGATATCTGCAAGCCCCTCTTCATTGAGCCTGGAATCTTACCATTGCCTTGCCTATATATTTACAAATATGTAATATTTGTCAAAACTGACTTACTTAACGGTGAACACATATTTTCATGTAATACTGATACTTATAATTACAACACACGTAAAATTCGCATTCATCATGTGTCAGTATCAACAGCTCGCAATCAGAAATCCACATACATTACATGTACGTTACTTTACAACGCATTGCCAGATCGCATTACACAATTGAAGTCGGTTCTCAAATTTAAGTAGAAAGGAAAATCTTTTCTGCTGCATAACTGTTTCTATACAATTAGAGACTGTACTGATCAAGAATATTTATTTTAACATAATGCTATACAGAACGTTCCAAACGGCTTCCCGCAGTGGCTGTTTCCGCACTCCAACATTCTTTATACGAAAACAACATCGCGGGCTGATCAGCGACGGCGCCTTCGCCTTGGTCCGTAACGCAGTAGCAACAAAGGAGCGTGATGTGAAACATGCAATGCAGTGAAGAAAAAAATACTGACACTAAAATAAAAAGCATTTGAAATAAAGATTTTTTTAAATTTTCATAATTATTAATTTATAATATTTCATGTGTTGAAACGTTTTCCCAGAATTTTGAAAGCAAGGCTTTACTATTTTACATTTATTACCGAAAACTTTTCTTAAAGATTCTTGATATTGATATTACATACAAAGTACTGGATATTTTAATTCTTCAATGGTATTGGGACAAGTTTGGTAGAAATTTTCTTTAGCTGCTTCTCAGAGAAAGGAATCAGGT